GCCGAGTGCAAGGTTCCTGACGCCGAGGGCAAGGTTCCTCACGTTGAAGACAAGGTTCCTCACGCTGGGGACAACGTGCCTCACGCTGAGGTCAAGGTTCCTCACGCTGAGGACAAGGTTCCTCACGCTGAGGACAAGGTTCCTCACGCTGAGGACAAGGTTTCTCACGCTGAGGACGAGTTTCCTCACGCTGAGTACAAGGTTTCTAACGCTGAAGACAAGGTTCCTAACGCTAAGGAAAAGGTTCCTCACGCTGAGGACAGGTTCCTCAAGCTGAGGACAAGGTTCGTCAAGGTGAGAACAAGGTTCCTCACGCTGAGTGCAAGGTTCGTCACGCCGAGTACAGGGTTCCTCTAGCTGAGGACAAGGTTCCCAACGCTCAGGACAAGTTTCCTAACGCCGAGGAGAAGGTTCCTCACGCTCAGCATAAGGTTCCTCACGCTGATGACAAGGTTCCTCAAGCTGAGTACAAGGTTCCTCACGCCGAGCACAAGCTTCGTCGCGCTGACCAGAAGGTTCCTCACGCTCAGAACAAGGTTCCTCATGCTGAGGAGAAGGTTCCTTACGCTGAGGTCTAGGTTCCTCACGCTGATGACAAGGTTCCTCACGCTGAGGACAAGGTTCCTCACGCTGAGGACAAGGTTCTTCACGCTGAGGACAAGGTTCCTCACGTCGAGGACAAGGTTCCTCACGCCGAGGACAAGGTTCCTCACGCCGAGCACAAGGTTCCTCACGCTTAGGGGAAGGTTCCTCACGCCGAGCACAAGGTTCCTCACACTGAGGAGAATGTTCCTCGCGCTGAGGAGAAGGCTCCTCACGCTGAGGACAAGGTTCCTCACGCTGAGAAGAAGGTTCTTCACGCTGAGGACACAAGGTTCCTCACGCTGAGGACAAGGTTGCTCACGCTGGGGACAAAGTTCCTCACGCTGAGGACAAGGTTCCCCACGCTGAGGACAAGGTTCCTCACGCTGAGGACAAGGTTCCTAACGCTGAAGACAAGGTTCCTCACGCTGAGGACAACGTGCCTCACGTTTTGGACAAGGTACCTCACGCTGAGGACAAGGTTCCTCACGCTGAGGACAAGGTTCCTCACGCTGAGGACAAGGTTACTCACGCTGAGGACAAGGTTCCTAACGCTGAAGAGAAGGTTCCTAACGCTAAGGACAAGGTTCCTCACGCTTAGGACAGGGTTCCTCAAGCTGAGGACAAGGTTCCTCACGTTGAAGACAGGTTCCTCACGCTGACGACAAGGTTCCTCACGCTCAGGATAATGTTCCTCACGGTGAGTACAAGGTTCCTCACGCTGAGGACAAGCTTCCTAACGCTGAGGACAAGGTTTCTCACGTTGAAGACAAGTTTCGTCACGTTGAGGACAGTGTTCCTCACGCCGAGGACAAGGTTCCTCACGCTGAGGAGAAGTTCCTCACGCTGAGCACAAGGTTCCTCACGTTGAGGACAAGGTTCCTGACGCCGAGGACAAGGTTCCTCACGCCGAGCAGAAGGTTCCTCACGCTTAGGAGAAGGTTCCTCACGGTGAGCACAAGGTTTCTCACGCCGAGAAGGTTCCTGACGCTTAGGACCAGGTTGCTCACGCTGAGGACAAGTTTCCTCACGCTGAGGACAAGGTTCCTAACTCTGAGGTCAAGGATTAAGCTTATAGTCCATTTCATCAACATTATTGCTAGGAAATGTTAAATCAGTGTCATCAGCGTACATACGTGGTTGGGAGCGTGTCAGGGAATTTGGTAAATCATTAATGTAGATAAGGAAAAGCAAAGGGCCTAGGATAGTCCCTTTGCGGGATACCGCAAGGCAATACGCGTTGACTGACAGATGACCATTGACATAACATTTTTGATTGCGATCATTTAAGTTGGACCTAAACCAGTTGCCTGTAGAACCTCCAAAACGATATACGCTTAACTTTGACAGCAATATTGTATGATCAACAGTATCAAACGCCTTCTTGAGATCTAAGAAAACGACGGCATTAACGTTGCCTTGGTCAATTTTGTAAGACTAGTTATTGGTAGCCTCAAGAAGTGCGGTGACAGTGGAATGAAGAGTTCGAAACCCTGACTGGCAATTAGATAAAAGGTTTTTATCCATAAGATAGGCATAAACTTGATCATAAATAATTCTCTCAAAAACTTTCGCCACCACTGGAATTATAGAAATTGGGCGATAGTTATTTAAATCCCTAGGCTCTCCCTTTTTAAATAATGGAATGACTTTTGAGCATTTCTATTCGTTGGGGAATGTACCAGAGTTAATAGAACTGTTAAAAATTGCACATATTGAATCGGCTATTAGGTCGGAACAATCGCAAAGTAATCTGGCTGATATCTTATCCAAACCCGTGGCCTTAGATCGATTTGCAAGGTTTAGACAAGAGGGTACCAACTGTAGTGATTGACAGTTAAACATAGTTGATAGAATAAATTACAATAGGCGGGAAAATATAAGGACACATGTATTAGGGCGCCAGGAAGAAACATTGAGTGTATTTAGTAAGGAACTGGAAAGATAATAATAAGATTGTTTGATTA